CTGTGAAAACAAACGGGTGACGTCACGGACACTGGTACGTCATTTAAAAAATTAGCCTAGCCCCACCTGTTTTTTACATGTAGAAACGCCACTGCGTTGGACGATACCTTGACACAGATACTCGTTCCCCACATTGGTCATCCATGTTGCGGTGTCCTCAATCCCCCCAGCCAGTTTTTTGGTCACCTATATTATAACAAAAGCATATACATCATTAGCACATGTATTCTTATCCAACCCTAAAAGAATAAATGAGCTCAAGCTTATATAGGTTTACATTTACCTTCTTAGTGGAATCGAGCTTCAGAATTCTGCCAAATGTTGAAGTGATGACACCTTTGAGTTCATCAAGGTGACCAACAACATCGTTGGCATGCACTGTTTCAAACCACTGGGCCAGGGGCAGGGGATAGAAGGCTGGTGGCGAGGGATAAAAAGCCTGGGACTGCTTCAGGCAGGATCTCCTGTGAATTTCACAATCTGTGAAATAGTCACAGGATCTCCTAGCCCACTCCTCACTGTGTGCCTCTTGAAATGCCTGCTGTAGGTAACTGGAACTATTCCCTGCTGTTCTGGGACGCAAAAGTGCCACGCATGTTCTGTCCAGTGCCAAATGTGTTGTTAACACAGCAGGGAATTTGTTGCGGTTAGAGGGGTCGAGCTGCTTTAAAATTTCACTACTCCAAGGACAGAAAGTTTGCGCTGGTTTGCACTGGCTGCACCTTGGGTAATCTCCTCCTATTAAATTGTACCTCAAATCCACATCAATGACCTCTCTGACCTTGGTGTAAATACCAGAGTGGTGCATCTTCCGGTTGCACTGAGGGCATTTCAGAGGGATGCTCCACTTGGTGCCCACAGGAACATCCTCTGCCGGAAGTAATCATGTGGGTTTGGAGGTGCCACAGATCTGATTGGGCTTGGGGGGTGGTGCCAATTCTGGCTGACCTCCTGTCTCAGCTGCCCACTCGCTTCATAGAGGATGTGGGCAATCCTTCCCGGTCACCTGGCTTGATGACCCGGAGGAACGGCTTTGATAAAAACCTAGCCTGGCTTACCTCTGGAGAGCGCAAAGGGACTGGGAACCCCGGTGCTGGTGCTGCTGGAGGAGGAGCAGAGGCAGGGGCAGGAAGAAGTGGTGTGCCACTGAGTCGCTGGTGCCATCTCAGATACTGTGGAAGGGGCAGGAACAGGAGCATTTTTGAGACGGATGTTTGGTGTCGTCTCCTGGGCTGTGAGGCAGACTGGAGCTGGAGCATCTCGGGGACAGAGGATTGGTGTCGGTGTCATCTCCTGGGCTGGGGTAGTGGAGGGACAGGCTGAAGGGGTTGGAGGAGAAATGTTTGGGAGGTCTGGTGGAGATTTTAAGACATGACACTTCTCACGGTGCTCTGATAACCCGACAGCACCATTGCCCTTTGTACCGCAGTGCTGACACTGCTCCTGGACATGGAAGTCTGACAGGTGCTGTGTAAATTGGTCAGAGAGCACTTCCTGAGCACAAAGGGAGCATGCTATAGAAGTACCGGCTGAACTTTCCTGACTTCCAGCTGCTGCACTGGCCTTTGGGGCGTCTGGTGTATCTGCTGCTCTACTGCTGTTGGCCTGCACTGCCTGTGGACCTGCAGCGGTCCCTGCCTGCTGTCCTAACTGGGGGAAACAACATTTTGTATTTACTCTCTAAATCCTTGTATCCTCTAAATCAAACAATACTCTGCATCAAAACAAGTCACTTGGAGAATCAAGCACATACAATGAAGAACCAGCCATGGGGAACACCTGTAGAGGAAGCATTTGTCAGCATGTTTGTCTCACATCATATGTTTAAGGATTCAATGACATTACTTACATCATGGTAGCCACGTTTGCAGGGGATCTTTTTCCCAAAAATGTCAAATTGGTGACAGTTAGGCCAAATAAAGGGGTCAGGGGACAATTCTTTATCCTATCTATCACTGCCCTCCAACCTTTGCCCCCAGGTCTCTGGCCAGTAGAAAATTTGTGTTTCCCCTGGGCAAACAGGACCATGACACCGTCCCAGTATGAATCTGGCTTTCCTTGCTTTGGCAAGGATAGATAGATAATAGATAGATAGATAATAGATAGATAGATTAATAGATAGATAGATTAATAGATAAATAGATTAATAGATAGATAAATAGATGATAGATAGATTAATAGATGATAGATAGATAATAGATAGATAGATTAATAGAGAGAGAGAGAGAGAGAGAGAGAGAGAGAGAGAGAGATAGATAGGAAATTAAGCAGCTACAATATCACAGCTACTGATAAATCATGACGCTATGAACTCCCTCCATTTCCCTTATAAGTCAGGTTTGAGGAACTACCATCAGGGATGCTACATACAGTAGGTATATCATACAGTATACACATATACAGTAGTAATATCGATATCAAAGCATTTAGAATCTTGATTGAGCATCTCTGTTCTAGTTTAGTCACAACGTTTGTCACAGCAGAAGTATTTACCAACACACCACATACGATTTCACTAAAGTGATTTGCATAATGTTAGTAAGTTATGCTTACTTTTATTGTCAAGAGATTCGCCGCCGGTAAATAAAGTTACCTGAAGATGAACTGTACTCCGTAGCCTGTCGTCTCCGGCTCACCTATCAGAACACTAGTATGCGCCGAAAGATGGGCAATAGACAAAATCCCCTGGGCGCGGCAAACTGTTTCAAAGCATATGATTGGCTCTTAACTGTCTCGAAGCATATGATTGGCTCTTTTGCCCCACTCATGTTAGGATTCTGTTAGGATTCCATTAGGAGTTGTTAGGACTTTGTTAGGAGTTGTTAGGACTTGTTAGGACTTGTTGGAGCAGTCCATTCAGTGGAGGGTACATCACAGCTCCTAATGTGATGTAAAAAGGTGTTGTCGGTTGGACCACCTAGATCATTCTTCTGCTGTTTTGGTTCAGAATAGTGATGGATTTCATGATTCGTTTGTGCGAATCAGTTCGCGTCGTTCAGTTCGCCATAAAGAGTCGTTCGTTCGTTCGTTCGTTCGTTCGTTCAGTCGTGTTTCCGGTAGCGGTGAATCATTCACTGAGTCGTTCAGACTCAGCTCCTCCCTCCGCCCCTCGTTCTCATTCGCGAACGGCGAATGCCAGCGGCTCCTCCCTCGTTCACAACATTCAAACGAATCACGAATGCAGTTAAGTTACCATTCAGAGATCAAGTTACAGTTCAACTCCGACAAACCAACTGGGGGAGGGGGGTTGATGGTGTTAATAAATGTGTGAATAATAGCAAATACAACATTGTGTCTGGTTGAATATGTTAACATATGTATTTAATTTGAGTTCAACAGATTTATTTAATGTATGCATAATGACATGTCAGGATCAAAATGCCCCATTCCCCCAATTCAAGGTAAAGTTAGACAAACCAAACGCAGCGGGATGCGGGGGGGGGGGGGGGGGGGCGTAGTAGATTATTGGATGTTTAATATATCAGCAAGATAATAGACTTGATTTAGCAATGATGAGTTTTAAAGTTAATGATGTACAGTTGTGTTTATTCTGGGCATATTTTATTTACTATTGTGAAGATGGCCATTGGCCACCCCCACTCAAGACCAAGTTCCACCAAGGTGGGGGTCCCGGCCGGGTCGCGTGCGTGAGAAGGAAGCATGAAAGAACGAGACAGATTGACGAGACATTCAAATATATTATTAATCTGGCATGACACAGAAAATACAAAGACAGCATGCATTTACCATTTCACTGATATTTAAATACGATTGGCTGGCTCTCGTGAGTCGTGACGTCTCAGTCCTCGAGTCAATCACAGTCAGGGAACGACTCGCGACTCGCGAATCAGCACCGCGAATCAGCAGCGCGTCAGACACTCAGCGAACGAGACGAACGACGACGAACGAGTCGAACGAGAACGGCGAACGAGGTCAGTTCGTTCACTTTAAAGAGTCGTTCGTTCGAACTGATTCGTTCGCGAACGAGCCATCACTAGTTCAGAAAGCTTCCCAACGTCAAGCACTTGTTTTAACCACCTGATTGAGGATTGTCACATTGAAATTTCAATTCCCCTTAGTTCGATTCAGTGCTCTACAGATCGGCATGTACTCCATCAGCTTCCTTTCCTATTCAACGCTGTGAGCAGAATTTGAACTTGGCGATGGACACCTCATTGGATTCTAAGTCGAACGAGTTAACATCTCGGCTATCAAAGCTCGTCTTGGCACAAAACAATGGGACTTTCATTGGTCATCTTAGATTAGTCGTTCGCTGTTGAAGTTTAGTAAAGCTTCATATTTGGCTGTTATGGTCAAAACTATGGTTAGCCAATGGACACTCAAGTGACATGGAGCGAATTAAAGGAACATCCCAGTATATAACACATTCTTTTACCACCTCATAGAAGACTATCATAATGAAATTCAGCTTAGATCAAGTCTGCAATAGACATGAATGTATATCATAGAAAAGTCACGCTGTGAGCAGGATTCGAACCTGCGCGGGGATACCCCATTGGATTTCGAGTCCAACGCCTTAACCTCTCGGCCATCACAGCACCTCAAGACTTAACAAGCAGTTTCCAGTTGGCCCACTTGGATCAAGAAGGATTCTTCTAATGTATTTGTTTTGAAAAGCTTCCCAACATAAAGCCTCATCCTCTCGGCCATCACAGTTCTCAGTTGGTACACTTGGATTCTTGGATTTTTATTCAGGAAGCTTTCCAACACAAAGCACTTGTAATAACCACCTCATAGAGGAGTGTCATATTGCAATCTCACTTCAAATTAGCCACGAGCTAGTGACCAACAGAACTGCATATACACCATCGGCTTCATTTTTAACAAAATGCTTTAAGGCGGATTTGAACCGGGCAGTGGACTTGTATTTGAAGTCCAAAGCCTTAAACTCGCCACCATCACAGCTCCTCTGGACAGATAACAAGCAGTTCTCAGTTGGTCCTCTTAGATCAGTTTTCTGTCTTTGAGATGCAAAGCTGTCGCTGTGAGCAGGACTTGAACCTGCGCGGGTAATACCCATTGGATTTCAAGTCCAACACCTTAACCACTCGGCCATCACAGCTCCTAATGTGACGTGAAAAGGTGTTCTCGGTTGGACCAGCTAGATCATTCTTCTGCTGTTTCGGTTCAGAAAGCTTCCCAACGTCAAGCACTTGTTTTAAGCACCTGATTGAGGATTGTCCCATTGAAATTTCAATTCCCCTTAGTTCGATTCAGTGCTCTACAGATCGGCATGTACTCCATCAGCTTCCTTTCTTATGCAACGCTGTCAGCAGAATTTGAACTTGGCGATGTACACCTCATTGGATTCTAAGTCGAACGAGTTAACGTCTCGGCTATCAAAGCTCGTCTTGGAACAAAACAATGGGACTTTCATTGGTCATCTTGGATTAGTTGTTCCCTGTTGAAGTTTAGTAAAGCTTCATATTTGGCTGTTATGGTCAAAACTATGGTTAGCCAATGGACACTCAAGTGAGATGGAGAGAATTAAAGCAACATCCCAGTATGTAACACATTCTTTTACCACCTCATAGAAGACTATCATAATGAAATCACAATTCAGCTTAGATCAAGTCTACAAGAGACAGGAATGTATACCATAGAACTCCATTGAAAAGTCACGCTGTGAGAAGGATTTGAACCTGCGCGGGGATACCCCATTGGATTTCGAGTCCAACGCCTTAACCTCTCGGCCATCACAGCACCTCAAGACCTAACTAGCAGTTTCCAGTTGGCCCACTTGGATCAAGAAGGATTCTTCTAATGTATTTGTTTTGAAAAGCTTCTCAACATAAATCCTTAACCTCTCGGCCATCACAGTTGTCAGTTGGTACACTTGGATTCAGCTGTATTTTTTTTTGGGAAGCTTTACAACATAAAGCCCTTGTAATAACCACCTCATAGAGGATTGGCATATTGCAATCTCACTTCAACTTAGCCACGAGCTAGTGAGCAACAAAACTGCATATACACCATCGGCTTCATTTTTAACACAACGCTGTAAGACGGATTTGAACCGGGCAGTGGACTTCTATTTGAAGTCCAAAGCCTTAAACTTGACACCATCACAGCTAGATCATTCTTCTGATGTTTCGGTTCAGAAAGCTTCCCAACGTCAAGCACTTGTTTTAACCACCTGATTGAGGACTGTCACATTGAAATTTCAATTCCCCTTAGTTCGATTCAGTGCTCTACAGATCGGCATGTACTCCATCAGCTTCCTTTCTTATGCAACGCTGTCAGCAGAATTTGAACTTGGCGATGTACACCTCATTGGATTCTAAGTCGAACGAGTTAACGTCTCGGCTATCAAAGCTCGTCTTGGAACAAAACAATGGGACTTTCATTGGTCATCTTGGATTAGTTGTTCCCTGTTGAAGTTTAGTAAAGCTTCATATTTGGCTGTTATGGTCAAAACTATGGTTAGCCAATGGACACTCAAGTGAGATGGAGAGAATTAAAGCAACATCCCAGTATGTAACACATTCTTTTACCACCTCATAGAAGACTATCATAATGAAATCACAATTCAGCTTAGATCAAGTCTACAAGAGACAGGAATGTATATCATAGAAAAGTCACGCTGTGAGCAGGATTCAAACCTGCGCGGGGATACCCCATTGGATTTCGAGTCCAACGCCTTAACCTCTCGGCCATCACAGCACCTTAAAAAAACCTAACAAGCAGTTTCCAGTTGGCCCACTTGGATCAAGAAGGATTCTTCTAATGTATTTGTTTTGAAAAGCTTCCCAACATAAAGCCTTACCCTCTCGGCCATCACAGTTCTCAGTTGGTAGACTTGGATTCTGCTGTCTTTTTTCGGGAAGCTTTCCAACATAAAGCACTTGTAATAACCACCTCATAGAGGATTGTCATATTGAAATCTCACTTCAACTTAACCACGAGCTAGTGAGCAACGGAACTGCATATACACCATCGGCTTCATTTTTAACACAACGCTGTAAGCCGGATTTGAACCAGCCAGTGGACTTGTATTTGATGTCCAAAGCCTTAAACTCCCCACCATTACAGCTCCTCAGGTCAGATAACAAGCGGTTCTCAGTTGGTCTCCTTAGATCAGTTTTCTGTCTTTGGGATGCAAAGCTGTCGCTGTGAGCAGGATTTGAACCTGCGCGGGTAATACCCATTGGATTTCAAGTCCAACGCCTTAACCACTCGGCCATCACAGCTCCTAATGTGATGTGAAAAGGTGTTCTCGGTTGGACCAGCTAGATCATTCTTCTGCTGCTTCGGTTCAGAAAGATTCCCAACGTCAAGCACTTGTTTTAACCACCTGATTGAGGACTGTCACATTGAAATTTCAATTCCCCTTAGTTCGATTCAGTGCTCTACAGATCGGCATGTACTCCATCAGCTTCCTTTCTTATGCAACGCTGTGAGCAGAATTTGAACTTGGCGGTGGACACCTCATTGGATTCTAAGTCGGAACGAGTTAACGTCTCGGCTATCAAAGCTCGTCTTGGCACAAAACAATGGGACTTTCATTGGTCATCTTGGATTAATTGTTCCCTGTTGAAGTTTAGTAAAGCTTCATATTTGGCTGTTATGGTCAAACCTCCGGTTAGCCAATGGACACTTAAGTGACATGGAGCGAATTAAAGAAACATCCCAGTATATAACACATTCTTTTACCACCTCATAGAAGACTATCATAATGCAATCACAATTCAGCTTAGATCATGTCTGCAACAGACATGAATGTATATCATAGAAAAGTCACGCTGTGAGCAGGATTCAAACCTGCGCGGGGATACCCCATTGGATTTCGAGTACAACGCCTTAACCTCTCGGCCATCACAGCACCTTAAAAAAACCTAACAAGCAGTTTCCAGTTGGCCCACTTGGATCAAGAAGGATTCTTCTAATGTATTTGTTTTGAAAAGCTTCCCAACATAAAGCCTTACCCTCTCGGCCATCACAGTTCTCAGTTGGTACACTTGGATTCTGCTGTCTTTTTTCGGGAAGCTTTCCAACATAAAGCACTTGTAATAACCACCTCATAGAGGATTGTCATATTGTAATCTCACTTAAACTTAGCCACGAGCTAGTGAGCAACGGAACTGCATATACACCATCGGCTTCATTTTTAACACAACGCTGTAAGCCGGATTTGAACCAGCCAGTGGACTTGTATTTGATGTCCAAAGCCTTAAACTCCCCACCATTACAGCTCCTCAGGTCAGATAACAAGCAGTTCTCAGTTGGTCTCCTTAGATCAGTTTTCTGTCTTTGGGATGCAAAGCTGTCGCTGTGAGCAGGATTTGAACCTGCGCGGGTAATACCCATTGGATTCTGCGCGGGGATACAAGCAGTTTCAAGTTGGCCCACTTGGATGAAGAAGGATTCTTCTAATGTATTTGTTTTGAAAAGCTTCTCAACATAAATCCTTACCCTCTCGGCCATCACAGTTCTCAGTTGGTACACTTGGATTCAGCTGTATTTTTTTTCGGGAAGCTTTACAACATAAAGCCCTTGTAATAACCACCTCATAGAGGATTGTCATATTGCAATCTCACTTCAAGTTAGCCACGAGCTAGTGAGCAACGGAACTGCATATACACCATCGGCTTCATTTTTAACACAACGCTGTATGCCGGATTTGAACCAGCCAGTGGACTTGTATTTGAAGTCCAAAGCCTTAAACTCCCCACCATCACAGCTCCTCAGGACAGATAACAAGCAGTTCTCAGTTGGTCTCCTTAGATCAGTTTTCTGTCTTTGGGATGCGAAGCTGTCGCTGTGAGCAGGATTTGAACCTGCGCGGGTAATACCCATTGGATTTCAAGTCCAACGCCTTAACCACTCGGCCATCACAGCTCCTGATGAGCCGTGAAAAGGTGTTCTCGGTTGGACCAGCTAGATCATTCTTCTGCTGTTTCGGTTCAGAAAGCTTCCCAACGTCAAGCACTTGTGTTAACCACCTGATTGAGGATTGTCACATTGAAATTTCAATTCCCCTTAGTTCGATTCAGTGCTCTACAGATCGGCATGTACTCCATCAGCTTCCTTTCTTATGCAACGCTGTGAGCAGAATTTGAACTTGGCGGTGGACACCTCATTGGATTCTAAGTCGAACGAGTTAACGTCTCGGCTATCAAAGCTCGTCTTGGCACAAAACAATGGGACTGTCATTGGTCATCTTGGATTAGTTGTTCCCTGTTGAAGTTTAGTAAAGCTTCATATTTGGCTGTTATGGTCAAAACTATGGTTAGCCAATGGACACTCAAGTGAGATGGAGCGAATTAAAGCAACATCCCAGTATATAACACATTCTTTTACCACCTCATAGAAGACTATCATAATGAAATCACAATTAAGCTTAGATCAAGTCTGCAAGAGACAGGAATGTATACCATAGAACTCCATTGAAAAGTGCCGCTGTGAGAAGGATTCGAACCTGCGCGGGGATACCCCATTGGATTTCGAGTCCAACGCCTTGACCTCTCGGCCATCACAGCACCTTAAACCCTAACAAGCAGTTTCGAGTTGGCCCACTTGGATCAAGAAGGATTCTTCTAATGTATTTGTTTTGAAAAGCTTCCCAACATAAAGCCTTACCCTCTCGGCCATCACAGTTCTCAGTTGGTACACTTGGATTCTGCTGTCTTTTTTCGGGAAGCTTTCCAACATAAAGCACTTGTAATAACCACCTCATAGAGGATTGTCATATTGCAATCTCACTTCAACTTAGCGACGAACTAGTGAGCAACGGAACTGCATATACACCATCGGCTTCATTTTTAACACAACGCTGTAAGCCGGATTTGAACCAGCCAGTGGACGTGTATTTGATGTCCAAAGCCTTAAACTCCCCACCATTACAGCTCCTCAGGTCAGATAACAAGCAGTTCTCAGTTGGTCTCCTTAGATCAGTTTTCTGTCTTTGGGATGCAAAGCTGTTGCTGTGAGCAGGATTTGAACCTGCGCGGGTAATACCCATTGGATTCTGCGCGGGGATACAAGCAGTTTCAAGTTGGCCCACTTGGATCAAGAAGGATTCTTTTACTGTATTTGTTTTGAAAAGCTTCCCAACATAAATCCTTAACCTCTCAGCCATCACAGTTCTCAGTTGGTACACTTGGATTCAGCTGTCTTTTTTCGGGAAGCTTTCCAACATAAAGCACTTGTAATAACCACCTCCTAGAGGATTGTCATATTGCAATCTCACTTCAACTTAACCACGAGCTAGTGAGCAACATAACTGCATATACACCATCAGCTTCATTTTTAACACAATGCTGTAAGCCGGATTTGAACCTGGCAGTGGACTTGTATTTGAAGTCCAAAGCCTTAACCTCCCCACCATCACAGCTCCTCAGGACAGATAACAAGCAGTTCTCAGTTGGTCCCCTTAGATCAGTTTTCTGTCTTTGTGATGCAAAGCTGTCGCTGTGAGCAGGATTTGAAACTGCGCAGGTAATACCCATTGGATTTCAAGTCCAACGCCGTAACCACTCGGCCATCAGAGCTCCTAATGTGATGTGAAAAGGTGTTCTCGGTTGGACCAGCTAGATCATTCTTCTGCTGCTTCGGTTCAGAAAGCTTCCCAACGTCAAGCACTTGTTTTAACCACCTGATTGAGGACTGTCACATTGAAATTTCAATTCCCCTTAGTTCGATTCAGTGCTCTACAGATCGGCATTTACTCCATCAGCTTCCTTTCTTATGCAACACTGTGAGCAGAATTTGAACTTGGCGGTGGACACCTCATTGGATTCTAAGTCGAACGAGTTAACGTCTCGGCTATCAAAGCTCGTCTTGGCACAAAACAATGGGACTTTCATTGGTCATCTTGGATTAGTTGTTCCCTGTTGAAGTTTAGTAAAGCTTCATATTTGGCTGTTATGGTCAAAACTCCGGTTAGCCAATGGACACTTAAGTGACATGGAGCGAATTAAAGAAACATCCCAGTATATAACACATTCTTTTACCACCTCATAGAAGACTATCATAATGCAATCACAATTCAGCTTAGATCATGTCTGCAACAGACATGAATGTATATCATAGAAAAGTCACGCTGTGAGCAGGATTCGAACCTGCGCGGGGGTACCCCATTGGATTTCGAGTCCAACGCCTTAACCTCTCGGCCATCACAGCACCTCAAGACCTAACTAGCAGTTTCCAGTTGGCCCACTTGGATCAAGAAGGATTCTTCTAATGTATTTGTTTTGAAAAGCTTCCCAACATAAAGCCTTACCCTCTCGGCCATCACAGTTCTCAGTTGGTACACTTGGATTCTGCTGTCTTTTTTCGGGAAGCTTTCCAACATAAAGCACTTGTAATAACCACCTCATAGAGGATTGTCATATTGCAATCTCACTTCAACTTAGCCACGAGCTAGTGAGCAACGGAACTGCATATACACCATCGGCTTCATTTTTAACACAACGCTGTAAGCCGGATTTGAACTAGCCAGTGGACTTGTATTTGATGTCCAAAGCCTTAAACTCCCCACCATTACAGCTCCTCAGGTCAGATAACAAGCAGTTCTCAGTTGGTCTCCTTAGATCAGTTTTCTGTCTTTGGGATGCAAAGCTGTCGCTGTGAGAAGGATTTGAACCTGCGCGGGTAATACCCATTGGATTCTGCGCGGGGATACAAGCAGTTTCAAGTTGGCCCACTTGGATCAAGAAGGATTCTTTTACTGTATTTGTTTTGAAAAGCTTCCCAACATAAATCCTTAACCTCTCGGCCATCACAGTTCTCAGTTGGTACACTTGGATTCTGCTGTCTTTTTTCGGGAAGCTTTCCAACATAAAGCACTTGTAATAACCACCTCCTAGAGGATTGTCATATTGCAATCTCACTTCAACTTAACCACGAGCTAGTGAGCAACAGAACTGCATGTACACCATCGGCTTCATTTTTAACACAATGCTGTAAGCCGGATTTGAACCGGGCAGTGGACTTGTATTTGGAGTCCAAAGCCTTAAATTCCCCACCGTCACAGCTCCTCAGGCCAGATAACAAGCAGTTCTCAGTTGGTCCCTTAGATCAGTTTTCTGTCTTTGTGATGCAAAGCTGTCGCTGTGAGCAGGATTTGAACCTGCGCGGGTAATACCCATTGGATTTCAAGTCCAACGCCTTAACCACTCAGCCATCACAGCTCCTAATGTGACGTGAAAAGGTGTTCTCGGTTGGACCAGCTAGATCATTCTTCTGCTGCTTCGGTTCAGAAAGCTTCCCAACGTCAAGCACTTGTTTTAACCACCTGATTGAGGACTGTCACATTGAAATTTCAATTCCCCTTAGTTCGATTCAGTGCTCTACAGATCGGCATTTACTCCATCAGCTTCCTTTCTTATGCAAAGCTGTGAGCAGAATTTGAACTTGGCGGTGGACACCTCATTGGATTCTAAGTCGAACGAGTTAACGTCTCGGCTATCAAAGCTCGTCTTGGCACAAAACAATGGGACTTTCATTGGTCATCTTGGATTAGTTGTTCCCTGTTGAAGTTTAGTAAAGCTTCATATTTGGCTGTTATGGTCAAAACTCCGGTTAGCCAATGGACACTTAAGTGACATGGAGCGAATTAAAGAAACATCCCAGTATATAACACATTCTTTTACCACCTCATAGAAGACTATCATAATGCAATCACAATTCAGCTTAGATCATGTCTGCAACAGACATGAATGTATATCATAGAAAAGTCACGCTGTGAGCAGGATTCGAACCTGCGCGGGGATACCCCATTGGATTTCGAGTCCAACGCCTTAACCTCTCGGCCATCACAGCACCTCAAGACCTAACTAGCAGTTTCCAGTTGGCCCACTTGGATCAAGAAGGATTCTTCTAATGTATTTGTTTTGAAAAGCTTCCCAACATAAAGCCTTACCCTCTCGGCCATCACAGTTCTCAGTTGGTACACTTGGATTCTGCTGTCTTTTTTCGGGAAGCTTTCCAACATAAAGCACTTGTAATAACCACCTCATAGAGGATTGTCATATTGCAATCTCACTTCAACTTAGCCACGAGCTAGTGAGCAACGGAACTGCATATACACCATCGGCTTCATTTTTAACACAACGCTGTAAGCCGGATTTGAACTAGCCAGTGGACTTGTATTTGATGTCCAAAGCCTTAAACTCCCCACCATTACAGCTCCTCAGGTCAGATAACAAGCAGTTCTCAGTTGGTCTCCTTAGATCAGTTTTCTGTCTTTGGGATGCAAAGCTGTCGCTGTGAGAAGGATTTGAACCTGCGCGGGTAATACCCATTGGATTCTGCGCGGGGATACAAGCAGTTTCAAGTTGGCCCACTTGGATCAAGAAGGATTCTTTTACTGTATTTGTTTTGAAAAGCTTCCCAACATAAATCCTTAACCTCTCGGCCATCACAGTTCTCAGTTGGTACACTTGGATTCTGCTGTCTTTTTTCGGGAAGCTTTCCAACATAAAGCACTTGTAATAACCACCTCCTAGAGGATTGTCATATTGCAATCTCACTTCAACTTAACCACGAGCTAGTGAGCAACAGAACTGCATGTACACCATCGGCTTCATTTTTAACACAATGCTGTAAGCCGGATTTGAACCGGGCAGTGGACTTGTATTTGGAGTCCAAAGCCTTAAATTCCCCACCGTCACAGCTCCTCAGGCCAGATAACAAGCAGTTCTCAGTTGGTCCCTTAGACCAGTTTTCTGTCTTTGTGATGCAAAGCTGTCGCTGTGAGCAGGATTTGAACCTGCGCGGGTAATACCCATTGGATTTCAAGTCCAACGCCTTTACCACTCAGCCATCACAGCTCCTAATGTGACGTGAAAAGGTGTTCTCGGTTGGACCAGCTAGATCATTCTTCTGCTGCTTCGGTTCAGAAAGCTTCCCAACGTCAAGCACTTGTTTTAACCACCTGATTGAGGACTGTCACATTGAAATTTCAATTCCCCTTAGTTCGATTCAGTGCTCTACAGATCGGCATTTACTCCATCAGCTTCCTTTCTTATGCAAAGCTGTGAGCAGAATTTGAACTTGGCGGTGGACACCTCATTGGATTCTAAGTCGAACGAGTTAACGTCTCGGCTATCAAAGCTCGTCTTGGCACAAAACAATGGGACTTTCATTGGTCATCTTGGATTAGTTGTTCCCTGTTGAAGTTTAGTAAAGCTTCATATTTGGCTGTTATGGTCAAAACTCCGGTTAGCCAATGGACACTTAAGTGACATGGAGCGAATTAAAGAAACATCCCAGTATATAACACATTCTTTTACCACCTCATAGAAGACTATCATAATGCAATCACAATTCAGCTTAGATCATGTCTGCAACAGACATGAATGTATATCATAGAAAAGTCACGCTGTGAGCAGGATTCGAACCTGCGCGGGGATACCCCATTGGATTTCGAGTCCAACGCCTTAACCTCTCGGCCATCACAGCACCTCAAGACCTAACTAGCAGTTTCCAGTTGGCCCACTTGGATCAAGAAGGATTCTTCTAATGTATTTGTTTTGAAAAGCTTCCCAACATAAAGCCTTACCCTCTCGGCCATCACAGTTCTCAGTTGGTACACTTGGATTCTGCTGTCTTTTTTCGGGAAGCTTTCCAACATAAAGCACTTGTAATAACCACCTCATAGAGGATTGTCATATTGCAATCTCACTTCAACTTAGCCACGAGCTAGTGAGCAACGGAACTGCATATACACCATCGGCTTCATTTTTAACACAACGCTGTAAGCCGGATTTGAACTAGCCAGTGGACTTGTATTTGATGTCCAAAGCCTTAAACTCCCCACCATTACAGCTCCTCAGGTCAGATAACAAGCAGTTCTCAGTTGGTCTCCTTAGATCAGTTTTCTGTCTTTGGGATGCAAAGCTGTCGCTGTGAGAAGGATTTGAACCTGCGCGGGTAATACCCATTGGATTCTGCGCGGGGATACAAGCAGTTTCAAGTTGGCCCACTTGGATCAAGAAGGATTCTTTTACTGTATTTGTTTTGAAAAGCTTCCCAACATAAATCCTTAACCTCTCGGCCATCACAGTTCTCAGTTGGTACACTTGGATTCTGCTGTCTTTTTTCGGGAAGCTTTCCAACATAAAGCACTTGTAATAACCACCTCCTAGAGGATTGTCATATTGCAATCTCACTTCAACTTAACCACGAGCTAGTGAGCAACAGAACTGCATGTACACCATCGGCTTCATTTTTAACACAATGCTGTAAGCCGGATTTGAACCGGGCAGTGGACTTGTATTTGGAGTCCAAAGCCTTAAATTCCCCACCGTCACAGCTCCTCAGGCCAGATAACAAGCAGTTCTCAGTTGGTCCCTTAGACCAGTTTTCTGTCTTTGTGATGCAAAGCTGTCG